ATAATTATAGAGGAGAACCAATGCCTTCAAGCTGGACCTAAGTTGATAAAAGAGTGACCTCTTTGGTAGATTGACTGCTGAAGGGCAGAAAAGTTTGGGAACAAGGATATTTGCTTTTCGGAGAATTCTTGAAATGGGTTTAGCATCTGTAATGAAGCACAAAGCTCGTGCGATGTCACGGTATCATAATTCCCGATAAAATTGAGTTTGAAGAGAGTTGTCAGTGTTTAAGTGTTGAAAACCCGTGTTTTCAGGAGAGTAGCGCCGAAAATTCATGAAAAAAAAACGGTCCAACGGGGCGATTTTTTGACTCCTTCAACTTTGGAAAGAGAAAAAGTATTCGTTGGAAAGCTCTAACCTTCTACTCCAATCCAGGGGGACAAGAACTGCAAAAAGTTCAATCTGAAGAAAGTTATAACAATTTAAAGCCAAAAAACCAGCGCTCTGCAAAAAATCGGTCCGCGATTTCCCAAAAACGGTCCAACGGGGCGATTTTTTGACTCCTTTGTTTTTGAAAGGAGTTCAAGTATCCGTTAGAAAGTATCCGTGATCTGAAAAACAAATCCAATTTTTTTCCACAATGTCGCTTGGCCTTTTCAATTTATGCGTAAACGAACATCATGGTGAGAAATTTGCGCCGTAGTCGAGAACGATCTCGTGATAAAATGAGTTACGGTTCAGTAGCAGAGAGTGGGATAAATCAAATTTCTGAAGGAAGGAGAATCCGCCTATTGTAAACGGATGCTCAGCCTTTCAAGGGAATGGGGCGTGGCACTTTCAAAGGCGAGGCCATCCGTAGCAAAGTTAAAATCCGGCTTCATCCGTTCCTAGTCGTCTTCATCTCTGTCCGCCCCCGTAGGGTGCACCAGCATCCGGATCTCCACCGTCGGACTCTGTCCCTTTTGGCAAACAGGCAGCGCAATGTGTTCACCTTGATGACGGCAGCCATCGAAAACCCCCGCCAAATTAAGGAAATCAATGAGCAAAAAAGTCTTGTTTCGCAGATCTTAGAAAGAGAACTTCCAGTGGTTTTTAATGCACCGTGTATCATCCAGAGTTTCATTTCTAACAAGTAGCCAAGTTTAGAATCATTAATAAACAATAGCTTGAAGAAAAATTCCTATACGGGTAAAAACTCAGGTCCGAAAGGGCTGATCGAATTCCCTTTTTTAAAAATTGGCCGATTGAAATCTTGGTTGCGTCTGCATCTACCACAATTTCAAAGCTAACGGACCAGCAATTGGCGCCCCCAAACGTCGCTTCTAGGGCATCTGCAGCAGCACACCACGTATCGCATCGTTTACGGTCCCTGCTCTTTCTCAGCTTCTTCGCGACACTTCACTCACCTCATCCTTTTTATAAGATCTATTCACCAATCAAAAAACTTGTCCTGCGGTCAAAACCTTCTATTTACAGCTATTTCTCACTCCGTCTCATTCCATGTATCTGATTCCGTCACAAAAGCAAAGGTCACGATCAGCATCCAGGGCCACGAAAAGTTCGAACATGATGTTCGAGTGAGACCAAATGTCGCCATAATTCACATTCAAACCGACAAACCCACATACGCTCCCGGAGAAACAGGTAATTCAACTGTCTACGATTTGTATTTTTTGCGGAGCTTAAAGCGAAGAGGAAGTCCCGTTTCCTGGTTTTTTGAACCGTTATATTGTTTCTCCTTCACAAACGCGTCACTTGGCTTTTTTACGTTCACATTTCTATCCAGCTTATCACGAGAGATTTCTTGAGGCGCATCCGGTGATGCACGCTTGACCCTAGACTAGTCTTATCGGCCTACACCTTTCCTCGTCATTTCTAAGCATAATGATTTCTTTGTTCGACTTGTTTTAACATTACAGCTAGCATTGATTTTTGGCGCTCATCCAGTAAGGTGGAGCATCATGATGCCGATTTTCGAGAAGGTGACGGTAGTTCTACTTTTGTCCAATGAGTCCGCCAATGTCAAGAAACACATGAAATTTTAGGAAGAAGAATACTCATCTATTTTTAAAAATGATTTTCTTTTCGCAATGACGGGACCACGCGGCATTGGCACTCTGCTCGCATGACGAGTGACTGCCCCCACTTCCACCCCTAGACTGCCTACACTGGGGGAGTGCAGGCAGTCTAGGGGGATGGGAGTGAGGGCAATCACTTGACTATTGTGAAAACTGGAATGTTCGAGTTTACAGGGTGGTCCAAAATTATGAGGACCAAGACATTGTGTCGTTAAAAACGCATAGTAGCTTGATGGAACAAACCAACTTCAGGGAAGTATTTGTAACTCTTACCTCAAAGTAATTCCAGAATAGAATTGAGATCTGCCACTTGCCCCGTTAACACGAGCCTTCAGATGAGGGGGATGGCGCGTGCGGTGGCACGCAACTGAGGCGTGTCAAAATGTTTCCAGGCCTTCTGCTCTGCTTTCTTCAGGGAATCAAAGTTTTGTGGGGCATTTATTTGCGCTTGCTCCAGGGTGTAAAATACAGAAATCTAGAGCTATTAGGTGGAGGTTCCATTGTAACAATTCTTCGAAAGCAACGAACTCGAAAAATCGCTTTTTAGAGAATTTTTGCTTTATTCTTGGGTGCTCGGTCCTGTAAAAAGTCCCAAGTAGACTACTCGAGTGGCTTTCTATCCACTACAGATGTGGAGTCTTTAGAGTGTCTGGCTGGGTTTTCACATCAATTTTTTCATTTTGGGTGTACGAAAGTCGACAAGGGGAGACCTAGTTTCTGCATCTGATAATTATCCTGGTGGTAACTGTAACTTTCGAGTCCCCGAATTTTCCATCTGTGGTGGTTCCAAACTTATTGAAGAGTTGAACTGTTGCTCATAAGAGCTTCCCTGATAGGTTAGACTGCTGCTAGATGTAACGTGCCAGAGCCCCTAGTGAGTTCAATTTGAGGACTGACAAAGTGAAGTAGTTATTTCACTAGTTTTGAGAACTGCATGAAATTTGGTTTCATTAGGAAGAAGACATTGTACCCTTTCACATAGTGCACAGAAAAGAGATGAAAATGGAGCGATACGGAAAAAAGTGGATATGACTGCGCGCGCACGCGGTCCTCATAATTTTGGACCACCCTGTACACTATCTCGCTCGAGAGATCGCCTATTCAGCAGAGTGCCGTGCCAACTCTCCCCCCCCCCCAACTCAATTAGCACCGAAATGCCCGAAATGCAAGGGAATGACTAGGAATAAAGCCGCTAGCACTCATAACTTTAAAGGACTCCTTGAGCAAATTGGCATTAGAGCAGATCATGCACCACTATGACCCACTTTTTTCAGACAAAATAGACTCGAAGAAATAACGTTACCACGGAACTAATAACATTGTATGGCTTCGAAGAAGTCACTGAAAAAGACTAGAATTACCGTAGCCTTCTCAATCTAGATGTGCGCCTGATTTTTCTTTATAGATGTCAGCAGAATCGTCTGTCGGTATTTCTGAATGTTTTAGAAATCCCGTACTTCTGCACATTCCTTACTGAAGGAACTGTTAAGCTATACTTAGTAGAAGTGTACTGTGACAATTTGATGATGCCCTTGATTTGTTTACGACTGCCTTAAGCGACGTTACAAATGAATATACAAATTCCAGCTTCTTTTCCGAGAACATTTTTTTTCGTAATTTCTGGCAATCTTTTCGTTGAGGTGCTTTTGCAAAAGCAAAATCGTGATCTTCTGAACACGATTTTGCTTTTACAAAAGCACCCCAACGAAAAGATTGCCAGAATTTAGTATATTTTGAAATATCTCAGAAATTCAAAATTCTCTTATGGTTAAAAGTAACTGTTTTCAGTGTCAATTCGAGCGCTTCCGTTAACGTATGAGGGTGGTGTTTTTGATGGAACCGTCGAATTCGCTTTAGTGGTGAGTGTGAAGGCATCTTTTTATTCTTTTCCTTTATCTTCGTATTAGGATAGCCTTAGCATGCTGTAAAAAAAGACCCTTCGCACTTTATACGAAGTTGATTATTACCAGGGTGAGCTAATTGTAGAGAATATGTGTTAGTTAATACGATCATTCCCTCAGTAGGACAATACGACCCCGTCTCCTCAAGACTGATAAAATCGTCCCGGGTTCCGAGCCTCATGTCGTCCTCCAGGGAATTTCCATCACTCCCCTGCCTTACGTGAAACTGTACCTCACTTTGCCTGCCTGAAGTTTGCCCGTTGAGCCTAAAATTTTTGACTTCAACTGGGCTCCGCTCATCTTATGAGGGTCAATTCTGGCCAATACGCTCCACTAACGAGCATGCGAACCACTGCTGAAGATTCTTCAACATTGGCTGGCCCTTCTTATTATTAGTGCTATCGTAAGAGGCGTGTAAGTAAAGGCCGCACTTCAGCTTTGTTTTGATTTTATGATTTTGAAAGCATGTTCAATGAAAATGGGACCACACTTATTGCAATGGCATGGTCAAGTCCTACCCTGATGCTATTTTTCAGAATCCACATGGTTTCGAGCTTGTTCGAAAGCAAAATCGGACATCTGATGGTTACATAGCACTGACATTTATTTTACCAAAGCATCTCTTCTTTGGCCAGTGGCGTATAGTCGCTAGACCTATTTCGGTACAGGATCAGGACCTTACATATAGCGTGGATTTCTTAGTGAAGGACTACGGTGAGTTTAGATATTCGAAGGTTCCATCAAACTACCTTGTTATACCGAGTTTCCATATGTTCTACCGGGTTTCCGTACCTTTTGCCTCGGATAAGATAGATTGTGTAAACATCAGATGGAAATAGAGTAGTCAGTAGAATGATCGCGTCAGCTCAGTTCTCCTCCCACACTGTGCTGGACAGGGTCCACCAAACAGTTACATTGCTCGATAACTCAGGGTTATACGCGTCCAGAAAGGTGGGTACACGGAGCCCCTGGGATAGGTATATAGTTTTCTTAGAAAGTCTCCGATGAGCAGAAACAAATTGATACCCTACTTTTCCAACTGTTGTCCACATTCCAAATTTGCTTCTTTCAGTGCTCCCACCGTTTAAAATAGTAGCGACAATTTCCGATGGTCAACCACTCTCTTCGACCACAGTGGCTATTGAGGCAAGGTGCGACGGTCTCCACACTTTTAGCGTACTGTAATAATTATATTATCAAGCAATTAGCTTACTATCTGCCTATCTTTAGTTATGAACTATTTTTTGTTTTAGTCGTTTCGTTGCCCGAAAAATTTTTTCTTGATGACATTGTGACATACCGAGTACAACACTATTTACCATTTGCTGCCCCACTCCTCCAAAACTCGGAATTTCTGTCGAAAATTTTCCATGTTTGTGGATTTGGCCAGAAACTTGTCTTCAAAAGTAATTCGACCCGTAGAACACGAATATCGCACTCGTTCGGCGTGAACAGTCTTGGCACCTGCGCCTCAAGTGCCGGCGCCAAAAAGCGCCACATCACCTTGGATCACCAAATTCGCTGGAAACTTGTCAAGGGTTAATCCGTAGAATATGAATATTACATCAATTCATTGATCTAGATGCCCTCATCGGTTAGTTATTGCTCCGTAGAATCTGATATAATTTAGGTACTTCCATGGTGCTCCTTTATCGGGATCACTGCTTCTCTATTGCACTGTTCAACGGCATCACTTCAACGAATCGAAGCCAGTACAGATACTTCAGTCTCAGGTGAGCTTCTCCTTTCATTCAATAGTACAAAGGGCAATCCGAAGGATTAAGGGAGAGCGGGGACGTAGCCCGCACCATCAGTGTTGCCGCAATCTTAGCACATTCACGTCAGCGGTAGCCCATATGGCCTGCCAAGAAATTGTGCTCGTGGGACGATGGCAGCCCATATGGGCTGCCTGGCGCCATGAATGGAAAGATAGGTAGTGAAGTCTCGTAATCGTGTGCAAAATGCTTGAATTTGAATCCCTTTACGGGGGAAGTGAATAAGTGCTCTCTTTCCGTACCACAAATGGAAAAGGTCTGCCCTCGTGAATGTTTTAGGTAACGTGAACACAGTACACTTTCATTAGGCATGTCAGGGCACTGAAGTTCACTACCGAACAAATGGATAATCAACACATCCATCTGATGAAATAGGACCAAGATTTTTCAGATCGTTGACGGGCTGTGGCAGGAACCAGTGAACATGACGTTGTGCTTCACGGATGATCGTCGTCAGGCCGCAAAAATCCTAGTGCAAATTCGCGATCAAGGGACAGGCAATCGCGGGGAGTCGCTGGTCATGTTCGACCCGCTTGTCCCTGGTTTCGAAATTGTGCCAATGAGACCTGTGTACAATTCCCGTACTCAGCGCATCTTACTCATGGTAAATTTCTACTTCTTAGAGCAGCAGAGAGATCCATCGAGTGTTGCCTTTTCAGACCCATTCAATCAGCGCTCCACTTGGCTCTGATTTGAACGTCACATTAGAGTGCCTTGGTGACCGAAAAAGGCCTTCTAGTCACATGCTAGCTACACTAGGTGATGTGCTTAGCTTTGAGAATCCATCGAACTGGAAGAAATGTAGCCTGATTATGGTGGAGGTGAGTACACGGGTACGGATGGCATCGGATTACGCTTTCATGTTCTGTTTGAGGCAGTGCGCAATATTGGCAGAATGAAGTCTCGAACGAAATTACTGCTGCTTCCTAACATTGAAGGAGTGGCGTCATTGGAACCATCATGGCTTGAAGTGCCTTCTCTTCGACCGTCATACTTTGTTGGAGACCGTCTGCAAGCCACTGTACCAAAGCGCGTCGCTAGATCACTGAATTACTTGGTGAGTAACAAAAATGGCGGCTGCATCTATTCTTTTTGGGCAAGGCGGTCCACCTCATAGAAGGGATACCAATTATAGTAGCGGTCAAAAGTGTTCGCCGAAACGGTTTTTCGTGCTTCTCCTTTTTTTGGGAAAAAAATCAATGGTGGCCTCGAAAAATTTTCTTTGAATATCCTGATTCTTCAAGACTTGAGGATATAAAAACACTAGAAAACATAGTATATCAATTTTTGGAGGCGTTGCTCGAGCGAGAAAAAATAATGCATTGAAATCGTTCCGGCTAAGGCCGATGTCAGACTTTGCGAATCGCGCGATTCGCTAGCGTCTGCGGTCGCGTCGCGGCCAGTGAATCACTCAATTGGCTGGTACCGCAACGCGACCGCGGACGCTAGCGAATCGCGCGAATCGCTAGTAGCGAATCGCGCGATTCGCAAAGTCTGACATCGGCCTAATACTTTTGACCGCTACTGTATATAGCTATGGAATATGCCATTACTATTGCGTTGATTCACTTAGACATTTTGTGCATGAACGTGCTTAAAGTCTCCAGGATTGCTGGTCGAAATTAAGCCTTTCCCCCGACGGGCCAGGGCTCTAGTATGCAGCATTGGCCCTCGTGCAGTGGGAGTTTTTCCATGTAATGTCAGCGGCACAGTAGCCTCGTTTTGAAACAACAACAATTTTGAATCCATTCATTATATCGCCCGCTCACTGTAAAAAAAACGTAAAAATTTACTCACATGAAAAATTATGAAAAAAAGCCATCGGTGTTCCCAAGCTTCTGGTTCACAAAAATATTGTTTGTGGTATGAGGAGTGTTCACATCAACATATTTCTGTTTCGGACAAAAAAGTGAGAAATCAAGTTGACTTGGACATACTATAAATTAGTTGAGTGCTAGGTTATAGCCTGTAAGTTACAGGTAGTCTGCAATTCTCGATCAGTGGTCACATCTGGACAAGTGAGAGACGATGGAGCCCTGATAATAAAAGTCACAACTGCCATGGTTGGACACTGTGCACTTTTTGTATATTCTGTGGAGATGAAGGCTACGACTGATATGATCCAGTTCAATGTAAAGGACCGATGTGAGGTATGATGTAAGCTTATTCCAGGCCAATTATAACCAAGCTTACGAGGCTTCTGTCAACCAGAGAGGGGAGTATATTGAAAGAGAAGCGTACTCTCTGTAGTGCTAAAGGCAAATCCCGGGATTAAACTGGTGCTATCAGCGCTTCGTAGTGATAGCTTAGCTGCGGAACGACCTGAAAGTGGGAAGGAAAGCAAGAGAAATCTTTGGGAACGCTGAAATTAAGGCCTTAACCTTCAATAAGGTCGGATGTGGTACGATGGCGAGACAGGGCGGTCAAAGAAGACAAAATACGCGAGAGATCACGCGTTCGAGAGAGCACGCTGATCTCACCATCTCTCGCGGTGGGTGGGAAGCGTTGCAACGGGGTCGATGGTTGCAGGCCCGTAAGGATTAGCGCCCTAACCGCGCAATTTTTGCGACGAAGCTGGAGTGATCTAGGTAGGTACGGACCTTACAATTTCCCTCGTGGTATCCTCCTACTAGTCGGGCTAATCCCGGGGTTTGCCTTTAAGAGCCTCAACACTACAAAGAAAGCAGAGATTTTGTAGTAGCGCACATGTGTGAGAGCTCCTGGACAGCAATACAAAAGGTTGAGTTGCTTAGCCGCACGCAGATCTCCTTTGAGATCCTATGTCCTTATGTAAAACAGAACATTAATTCTTCTGTCCAACGGTCTCTTTCATCTCCTCAGCAGACAAGTTGAGCAGAAGAATCAATGTTCTCTTATGTATACAGAGGTTGGGTGGGCATATTGGAAGATTGGAGCTGGACCAGATCTTCATAACGTGTTGTGTTTTTTCCTAATCCACTGGCAGAACTGTGTTCCCTTCATTAATCCTTACTGCTAGATTTTTGAAAGACACACAAAATTGATTAATTTATTCGCAGGTCTCTCTGTTTGCTTCACGGGACAGCATCAAGCCAGGATCTACTGTTAGTATAACTATGAACGGTGAACCGCATGGCATTGCTTTTCTCAGAGCGATCGATGATCGTTTGTCCACAATGAAAGCGGTGAGAGTGGTATTAGTGAAACATTCCGCGATTGAGCAGGTGTAGGTCACTTCGCTCGAAAGTAAACATATTTGCAGAAAATGATCCGCCAGCAGTAATATAAAGTAAAAAAAAGTGCTGCTAAAACCCGTCGAAATAGTGCGGAACGCAACACGCAAACTCCGCCCACGGTCAGCGCGCATTGTTGTTCATCCAGTGTGACATTCGTGAAGTGAATTTACGTCCGACGCTTGAGCTCACTGGTTAAATCTTCCTTTTGATATCATTAGGTGCGGTCAAGATGTGGTGCGAACTAATTACATTCTACTAAGGGCGGGGCACCCACACAACTAGCGCGCAATGTGGTCTTGAGAGTTTTTGGCAGCTTTTGCTTGCTTCAGTAATGCTGAACCATTCACTAATTTTTTTCATTTTTAACGCAGTAACCCACATTGAATCGATCGCAGAATGTGCCTTTGAAATCTGATTTTCATGTCTCTTTGGCTTCTTTAGCTAAATCTGGCTTGAATTGCCATGCTTTTCTATGCATCTCTTCTTGTACACATGACTGTATGGTGGAAGAATTGTAATTTTTACAGTTTTAAAAATTTCCATATTTGAGGTCAGCGATGCAATGACCATGAGATCCTGGGATTTCGGAATACTGTATCGTCCTGGTTCAAGAGAAGATCAAGCTAAGCTGATCAATCTTTTCGCGACTAATGAAGTGAAAAAAGCGATAGGTGAGCAGTGTCGAATTGCTATGTTTCTATCTCCATAAAGCAACTGGGTCCACTGCTAATCCACTAAACGTACATCTTGAATTCTAGAGGTGAAGATGGCTTCTAATAAATTGAGGATAGTCATTTGCGCATATGTCTGCATCTTTTTTCATAATATCTCATCAATTGCGACCATTCCGGGCATAAAATCCTTACTGATAATTGTTGTTTCATAGCTATCACGGGAAGTTCTAATACATTAGAAAGGCGAAGCAGTTTAATCCAAACGAGTCTCCTCAATAGTGTTGGGCGTATGCGATCCACACTTTCATATGGGCATATGGCCCACACTTTGAGCAGGATGTTTCAGCATTGTGTATTGTTACGCTCCAAATCCTTTATCTATAAAAAGTATGCGATTTGTTCAGGTGAAACATTTAAGGAGCAAAATGATGGCGGAACAGTTCTCTTGAACCATATTTTCTAGAGCAACTTCAGAAACTAATATTGCATAGGCTACTATAGATTACGTTTCTTAAAGGCAAAGTTCGGGCTCAGACCCACCTAATGAAGCCCTTAAAGTGGCTAGAAGTGCATGGGACGCAACTGCAGGCGACTCGCCAAGTTCCCGCATCGAAATGCGTCACTAAGGTAGGGGCCAAGGACTTTGACACGCTCCACCTGTTGCGACACGCTCCGCCCACCGCTCGATATCTTGTCTGCGTCGCAATGCTGATCTGCTATGCTCTCTCTTTCTCTACCGCTCTCCGCGCTCACATTATCTCTCATCTCCCTGCCGGCCTTTTGAACTTCTCCGCAGCGTAGAGCAAAAGGCTCGTATTTCCTGTGTATTTCACGATTTTTTTCCTTTTTTCTCCACTGGCGGTCCACCTCCCACCCCTACATCACATTTGAGTAGGAATTACCTCATCAGTTTAAGCTTGAATCTTGCCTTTAAGGAATCTTCCACGGAAAAAGCTCCGCCCTCATTACCACAGAAAACGATACCTTTCCACGGAAAGAGTGATCATTTTGTCTTGTGTGTAGGATTAGTATTATCGAAACTAACGCTTATGTTCCGTTCTTTTTGCTATGCTCATGAGGCTAGGGGCCTAAGGTATCGTTTTTCTGTGGTAATGGAGGCGGAGCTTTTTCCGTGGAAGATTCCTTTAATACTATGCAATTTTAGAGAAAAACTGTGCCTCCGCAGCAAGTCACTACGTCCGACAGTTCGGAGTTTGCCCTGAAGTCAAAGCGTCATTGTCAGCACTTTCGAACTACTGTATTAACATAATGGCTACAGTTTGCATGACTTCAGAAGAACCAAAAGGTAAGTAATGAGACTTGCTTTGTCATTTACCGAGTTACTAAACCGTGAAATCATAATCCTTGCTAAAGTGATGACAGCCCGTGATGAATTGATGAAAGTTCATCCAATCATAACATTAAAGGAGGATTTCAACAATGAATGCTCACCCATTATAAATAAGGTAGAGCTGATCAATGATACATAAGTTAAGGCAAAACGAGGGGAACAGCCTAGAACCCGTCGAATAGGACCCCGTTTTCCACGTTGGTTACCGCCAAGTCTCATCGATGTAGACGTCATCGAAGTGAACGCTCTGCTGTGCTCCTCTTCTAAAACTGCTTGAGTCCGCAGTGAGAGCTCATTACGAACAGGGCCCTGCTAGCAGGGTGAATAACGGTCGAGGATTTCCTCGACCATAGCTCTCTACCATGCGAGAGTAGTGCCGAGAGTGAACATCCGCGCGGAGAGCACAGACGGCACGCGCATGGCGAGTGTGAATGTCCGCGCGAGAGATCGTGTCTGATCGGGCAGAGAATCCTCGACGTGCCGTTGAGGAATCCTCAAGCGATATTCACCCTGCCTGATAGTCCTCTAGCGGCGCACCCTTAGATGCGAAACGTACATCGTAGCGTAGCCTTAGGGGTCTGCCTGCCCTTCTAGTAGGTGTAGCACTGTGGATTAATTGGAGCAACTGAAGCTAGCCGATAGTGAGGCTCGACCGACCAGCCTTTCCTCATCTCAAGGTGGAGTGCTGCTGAAAAGGGGGGGGGGGGTGCTTTTTGGGGCATAATCGAAGACTTCTTTTCCTGACCACTCCCCATATGAGGCTTCATTATTGAACCCTATATACCCTAATATTATCCCGGAACTTCTTCGATATGTCAACAAAGGGGTGGCCTGCAAAGATAGAAATTCAACTGAAGCGTTGGAATCCCTATCAGAGTCACCGATGGGGGAGCATGAGAATGATTTGTTTCAAATGGTAGTCGGTAATGATATGTGGATCATATCAGCTGTCATCAATTTACCTATAACAAATTCATGATCACAATAAGGCGAAGCCACGGGTATAAAGGGCCCCACATACCGCGTACAGTCAGCCTTCCCTTTGAAAAATTCAAACCTAGGTAGAGGGTGGGGCTCTTGCATAAAGTTTTTTTTTCTTGAGAACTCAGACAATTTCTCACGAACTCGAGAGCATCAGAGCTTTTTTTGAAGATTTTGTTGGGAGAGGAACGCCAAAATTTTAAATCGGCCAGACGCTGCGGTTGACTTTGATCGGACAGGAACTTATTTATTTCACTGTCCAGACCCCGTGGTCTTTCCTCAGCTTATACGTTCATCTTCATCATAGGTGAATACACTTACAGGTACAACATATGGGTCAAAGCAAAATATTTTGCCTACTTATGGACAAAATCAAAAAATCCAATTTTATTGGAAGGGTGCTCGGAAATCAGTTCTTTTCTGCTTAAATTCATCAATTTTATAGTGTCCGTTTCCACTGCATGCGACATAAAGAATCCTCGAAGCTGTGGGCTACCTCTGGAAAAGGCAATGTCCATTTTTGAGCGCATTTCACCTTTTCATGCCGTCACCTCTCCAGATGATACTTTGTCCAGTACTCTGAGGTAAAGTTTTTACTTTCTGAATTAGATTACTATAAAAATGAAGATCACAAAAAATCGTCAGATCCGAAAGGGAAAATTACAACATTTCAAATGCAAATATTTCATTGATCTTCTCAAACAGCCGACTTGTCATGTCCAACGCCTTAAAAGCAGGGGTCGGGATGACGTTACAAGAGATAGACCTCCCTAGTGTGAAAAGACGGTCCATAAGCTCTGGAGCCGCGACACCGTCGCGACTCAAGAGTACGCTGCAATGGCGTTAAGGTCATGCCAGTCCGCTGCCAGCGCTGTCATCCACGCGGCATACGTGGTCTCTGCGCCTCTCACGTATGACGTACTATCTCGCGTTCTCCCTCTCCTCGCAGCGCTGTGTCTCTCCGTCGTACCACGGCCGGCCTCCAAGGGAAATTCAGTGTTTTCACTGACGCTTTTTGCTTTTTTTTATCACATCGTACCTTACTTGTCTTTACTTTTATCAAAATAGCAGACCAATTCGAGCCCGACCCGTGCCGTTAAAAAAAGCTGTATACACTTTTTCATAGTATTTACATATTCTTTTTCTGATTAAGTGATACCATGCAATCCTGTTGAAGAAGAAGAGTCGCTTGTCCGGCAATTGTTCCACGAAGTGTGGTTGTTCGATGCCGTTCCTCTCGGGTAAGTTCAATGACGCAATACTGTTCAAACGATGAATTACGAAAAAAATCCCAGAAGATGGTGGCGCAGAAAACAAAGTTATCAAATGATCAGGAGGGACGGGATAAAATTCTTAGCTCATATCACAGAAAATGTTCGAAACCATAGCCGGAGGTAGGAACCCGTTCTTGAGAGAAATGGATAAAGCTTAAAGTAAGAGTTGGGTTGTACATAGGTATGGTGGAGGATAGTTCAAAGTGAAGTCGAGTACGGTAGCGTCTTGAGGATAACATAAACAACCCGTTTTCCTGAGTCACTTCAAATATGCTGCCTCGACCGCAACATGCCTAACATCGCGAACACGTACCCTCTGCTTCAAAAACCAGAAGACCGTCGAGTGCAGAACACACACCACAAGAGACGACGGCCCCAAGTAAGTGACTCATAGCGATAGCTTATAGTTGGTGAATGAAAGTTGTGATTAATAGCAAATGAAAGAATGCATTTGTAACAGGCTAATCACTCCATTGGCAGGAATCATATACCTTTTGTAGAGGCCGCCGTCACTTGTGGTGTCTAGTCTG